GTGTTCACATACGATTGAACTTCAGCTGCTTAAATGACCTCCAGACAACTGGGAATAAATGCGTGAAATCTAGTCTTTGTGGAGTTATTCATTATTTGACACACGAACAAGTTATATTGTTTATGCAGTAATCTTCTGCATTGTTTATAACCTTATTATAAGTAAACAAATATGCCAGCGAACAACGTCAAAGAATTCATTTTAAACGGCTCAACGGTCTACCAAACAGCATGACATGATAGGAACGGAAGATCTTCAGTAGAACTCCATTGGTATGTGCATTTCGAATCATATGTATTATTCTATGGTGTCTAAGATGATTAGCAAGTGTCGTATCAGCTGCATCTGCCAAAATTTTTTCTACATTGCTAAACTTGGATTATGATCAACGCTAGAAGAAAAAAACCAGATTCTGCTCAAGCAGTTCAGGGAAAACGGTATGTTTGATGCTTAGGGGGCAAAATCGAAACGACCCATAAAAGAAGTTGAAAAAAGGATGACAGTTGTGTCTAATAACTTTGAATGTAGGATCACATTCCATGGTCTAACCGTCTGTAACTAACCTGTCGATATGGAAGGGAAATGTACTCGTGAGTAAATGACGGAACAAATTATCACAAACCGAAGTGCTTTGGAGTATATTTTGGGTAACCCTAGGCTGCCAGTGAAAGATTTCATAGTTTCAGAAAAAAATAAGTAAATGAAACTTCGCCATGGATGTAAAACTTCTCCTTCGATTAGAACTATTCAATTCGAAAATGAATGATCCTCAGTTCGATGAATTTCTTTCATAATGTGCAATTACGAGGCAATATACAATTATGACTTATTAAAATGTTGCTACAATTCTCAGTTCATGGCAACGTAAGTAGTCTGAAAGTGTTTTTTCTCTGAGACATCCAATAAGTGACATTTTCACTGCAATCCTTTCGTCCGTAACGCAGGGGACTAGTGTTATAATGTGATAATCTCAGGATGTCTTATTTCGGATTCAGTAGAAACAATAGTATCGGATCCGTTCGTCAGTGCGTCGCTACAATGTCATTTTTCAGGGATTTGTTTTAAACGCTCAAACGGTCTGCTATAGCACTGATATGCGATGAAAATTACTCAGACGAACAATCGACACTCTGGCAAAGCCACGACAAAGACGGCCCAGAGGCAAACCATGGATGGGAGAACTCAATTTCTCAGAGGACCTGGCATTGACACGCGTTTGAATCCCAACCCCTAAGCCTGTCCGTTTGACGATAGACCAGGGCCATTGGTAAAATCACTTAAATCAGTTGCCACTAAAATGATAAC